TAAAGCTGCTATGATGCATATTTTTCTTTCCTACAAATAGCCCTCTATAATACCATTGCTATCTCTTCCAAAATACAAGTACAATTTGACAATTCATATACATTCCTGTTTTATATATTTTTTTAGATATATATATTTTTATATATATTTTAAAAGCCACAAGTAAATACTATTTTCTTTTCGACAACAGAAATAAAAAGAAGCTTACAGTAAAACATAAAAAAATGTATGTATCAAGTGGAGTTTTTTTTTTTTCTTTTCTTAAATGCATTTATACTCTTGACACGATCACATCCACAGAGTGGCACCGACATTATCGTCCACTCGGCAGTGGTCAACCGTAAGACTCGACAGATTCGTTTCAGGTTCATGGTCTGAGGTTTGATGTAGGTTTCACTTTTTCAACATGTCTACTCGTGAAGAGCAGAGGAGATGAAGGTTTCTGACGTATTCAGTGCAAAATAAAAGGCTTGTGCCACATAGAATCTCTTTATCAAATGAGGCAAATATTGACAGATGGAAATAATAAAAATAATAATAATAATAAAATAAGTAAACAGCTGAAATAAAAAAGTGATTCGTGTGGTCCAGTACAAATGCACAGATTGGAAATCTGGAAGCTCTGTGCAAATGGGTTCTCAATAGTAGATTTTCTTCAAAGCAGTAGTTCCGTTATATAAAAACATGTATAGCACAAAAAGGATATGAAAAACGAAACATTAAAGGAGAGGAAGCAATCTCAGTATCTGATCTGCTTGATATCTGTGGTCATTTTGCCAGCTTAAGCAAACATCTGTAACAGTAACACACGCATACACACAAATACACAATGTCTAACCTGCGCAAGCTGAATTTATATGCAACTAGATGCATGTGAACAGGGAAATATTAGAGGGTTTTGGCAATACTGAGAGTTGATTTTGTAATTGTTTCATAGTGACGAGGTGATTATTGCAGCATGGATGCTTTGTCAAATCATTACGCATCTTAATGTACTCATTAAAGTTATCATTCGTGATTATTGTGATTATTTTGAACATGTGGTGGGGACAAAATGAGAATCAAATTCAAAATCGAATTTAAACCTAGAAATCATTTTGGCTAAACGAAGAAATGTTATGAAAGACTGAAGCTTAAGGTGCTTTTAAAATCACGCTGGAGAACATGATCAGGTTTTACTGTACATAGACTTGCGGAGTTCAATGAACCTGAGCGGTGCTGACAAACCAAATATTTTTACATTTGTATTAATTTGTCAAGTCAACTTTATACTCAAATGTTTAATTTGAATACATAAGTTGTATCTTTTTATTACATAAATATGGCCTTTTTACTAATGGTCTCCATTCATCAGACCATTAATTTTTCAAAAAAAAAAAAAAAAGGTTTTATATTTTTTAATAACTAATTGACATCACAAAATGCACTTCAATTAGGTCAGTTGGTGGTACAGAAAATATCATACTATATATCATACAAGACTGCATACTATTCAGATTTTCATAACTGCCAATCACATCTGCATTAGAAGATAACATCTTATTACATCAATATTTAAATACACCTTAACCAATTAATTAATAAACATTAAAATGGTTTAATTAATCAGGCTGTATCCAAAAAATATTCCAATTACGTATTACACTTGTTGATAGTGACACAGATTTAGTGAAGGCACAATTTCCATTCTTTAAAGTCAAAGTGTCTAATTTCTAGTGTAATAAAACAGAACTGCATAAAATAATGTCTGTTTTTATACTGTCATTGATCATGTCAATGTAGCTGTAGCAATGTATCAACCTACAAATGGCTTAACATTAATGACTGCATATATTTTAACACTGACAAAATGATACACTTCAGCTTTAAAGATCTCCTAATGGCATTTTTCGGTTTTGAAAAGCCTATAACCTATTGATAGTGAATGTGGATTTTAACACACATTATAGCTATCGCTGGGATTTTGATTTGTATATCCGCACTACATGTCACTTTAGCTCGTTTGGAAAGGACACATTCATGATCTTTTCGAGTTGACTCCAAAATGTTTCAAGAGTCAATATATAAAAAGCCTGTTTAGTGTTTGCATAACTAGAGAAAACTATTGAGCGTAATGGGGTGAACAAAGCTCCATTATTTGTCATCAACATCATGCTGAAATCATAAGGTCATCAAAATAATGGAATGAAGTCAACCACTCCACCTGCGCAGGAAAGACCATGTGTGTGTGTGAACTGAAGGGTTTAAAACAAACACACCATATTAAACAGCAAGGTGTACTGAACTGCACATGCTTCACAACAGATCAGGACCAACAGTGAGTTGCTACTGGTAATGAGTAGAAGCACATGAACTAAACTAACCTCTGTCTGCGGTCACTACCCTTTGGTAAGGATGGACACGCATTTCGTGTCTTCGAACTTTAGTTGTCACTGCACCTGCTTGGATTGCAATAACATCACCAGAAAACAGATCAGTCAAACCTCACAGTCTCCAAATCATCCCGAATGTGTTTGACAAACGCAAATCATTTAAATTATACAAGTTAAGGCACAAATAATACTTTTTACCCCCCCATATGTAAATATCTCAACACGTGTTTGTACAAAATTCAAACATGGTTTCATTTATCCTCAGTGGATCCGTGGGTTTTTGCGTAGCTTGGATACAGTATGACAGACAGGAGTGCACACTCTCAACGGGAAGCTTTACTAGTCACGTAATCTTGCGCTGGAGCGACAGTGTCTTTAAATATAATACTGATAAAGTCACTCTCTGAGAGAGAACAACATTTAGGCACATCTGCTGGAGTACAAAAAAAGGAGAATAGAAATGTATGGCAATGAATTAAGTGATTAGTAAAGCAGAACAATGGCGTAGCAGTCAGCCGCACAGTCCAGGGGAAATATGTGGGAGTATGGAAGCATACGCATGGCATTACAAGTACAGCCGCTGTGGGCTCTGGGAATAGCCAGTGTAAATGAACAGGAGTGTGTCTGACTGACTGCTAGGCCAGATTCATGCTCTGAACAAACATCACTCAAAACCAACAAGGCAGCTGTGAAACGAAAGCGTGTGAATGTTAACACTCAGATCGGATGAGGGGCTCAGTGAGGATCCTGGGAAACGCATTTAGCCTTTCATGGGGAATAAAGGAAGGGAAGGGGAAATTAGTGGCAGGACTGATGGTCCTCGGGGAAACAACACACACCACAGTCAGACGGAGCACGTTTTAGGACAGTTGGTGAGGCGATGGCACTGGGAGAATCTCAATAAATTTGTAATGTTTTTGAAAAAAGTAGCCTATGCTTGCTACATTTATTTGATCATAAATACGATAAAAACAGTAACATTGTCATTTATTCCAGTGATGATATACTGAATTTTCAGAATCATTACTACAGTCTTCGGTGTCACATGATGCTTCAGAAATGGTTCGAATAACAAACAAAACAGTTTTTATAATTATCAATGTTGAAAACAGTTCTGCTGCTTAAAATGTTCGTTTTCAGGATTTTTTTTTTTTTTGATGAATAGAGAACAGCATTTATTTGAAACAGAAACCTTTTGTAACATGATAAATGTTTTTGCTGTCACTTTTGTTGCAGTTTAATTTAAAGAAATTTCTTTAAAAAAAAAATAAAAATCTTACTGACCCCCAACATTTGAATGGTTGTGTATGTCTGGATCATATTTCAACCAAAAATCAAAAGACAAATATTTGATGCTTATACAATAAAATAAAGCTTTTCTTTGTATTAAGATCTTTTGCAAAGTAAGACAATTAAGCATAATTCCCCATATTGTCATTACATATGGGTGTTTTGATTTAGCTTTTTTCTTTTTTAATAATTCTTAGCATTTTAATTATAAATACTTTTACTAGATCTGTAATACTGCAGTGCGATACTATTATAATTTCTTATTTCTTTGCAAAACAGAAGTGAGAAAAAGATTTTTACATGTGTAGGGTTTGATGAAAACTTTCCATTCAGTAAATATGACTGAATTCAGATAGTTTATTCACTTCATATCAACACTTTGGGTTTTGGGTTGCAAAAATGTTGTTAAAAGGCTTTGATAACTATGTAAAAAATATTATAAGCCAATATCCTCACTGTTTGATTATATATTGTGACTATGCCATTTTAGATTTTAAGCCAAAATGCCCCACCATAGTGCATCAAACTGTCCTAAAACTGCTCGATGAACAGCCTGGGTTTTAACAGATGCCCCACCTCAAATAGTTTCCCTCCCAATTTGAGCCCCACTGTCCCCTCACCATCCTCATGTTGCCCCTCACCCTGATGCGGCCCGCTCAGACTGAGGGATGGGGCTCATCCAGAAAGGCTTGTGCAGCAGTTTGGGGCTCAGTGCTTTGTCTCCCTCATCATTGAACACATAAAAAACTAAAACATCACATTACAGATAAAAACAAAAGTACAAAACCAAAAAAACAACAACAGAAAAACAAAAACCATGATTCAAAGAAACAAACAGAATGAAAGAGGCCGGGAGTCCAGCCAGTCAGGTCTGAAAGCCCAGGTAGAGGGGCAGCTCTTCGGCCTTTGAGGATGCTGTATAGGTCACACAAGAGAGAAGACAGGGTGAAAACCTCCCCTCAGCTCTCCCACCCCCAAAACATCCTATCTGTTACGGGACGTTCACACACACGACGATTATATCACTGGAGGCTGCCAGTGGCTCTGCTTCACTGGTTCTGCCTTAATTAACCAAATGAGAAAAAAAAAATAATGTGCACGGTTATTATGATTATTATGGTAATCAGCACCAAAAGCAGGTTTTTCATTGAGTCTTCTGCAAGAATCGTGATACAATCAGACAACACCAAAGCCTGTCATTTTCTTCTTAGAACTTTCTTAACTTCTAATCTAAGAAGAGTTTTGTGAATCCAGCCCCAGATTATTCATTAAAAGTCTGGCACACACATTTTTTTTGTTGTTAAAATCTAAATGTAATATTATAAACTGGAAAGTTCTTAATGGTTCTGGTGGGGTGTCCATAGCTTCTAAAAAAAGTTAATCACAAATGCAATTTACTGTCTGTAAAAATAAGTTGTCATTATTATTTGGCAAGGTTTTTAAATTTCAGCAGTGCATACAGTAATTACGTAAATGTATTCGTAGTATACTTAGCATGAAGTAAATGTATTTCAAATGCATTTTAGTTTATTTTTCACTAGGGAACTGGTAACATTTATGTCTCAATCTTGTGCCTCACATCACTGCTCATTTGCATAAAGATGAACTTTTCTCAACGTTGCTGTATCGCTGGACACACCCACACCAGTTGCTGTCAATCACGTCGCTGGAAATCACCAACTGTCACTGTAAATAACTGACTTCTAGTTGCTGCAAACCGCTGTATGTGTGAACGTGTTGTAGCGACCTACCCTCTACCCCAGAAACATCCACCCACAGACAGTGTAAGGCTGGTACAGTCCTATAAGATCCTTGCTGCAAACCATCCTGCTTGAGACGAGCTCAATAAACATGCTTATTGGACAGGAGCTAAACCCTACTTCATCTGCTCTAATTGGACACGCTGCTCTTGGCATTGGGATGGGCTATTTGTCGCTGCTCAACTTAACACCGTGCCTTTGGGAGAAGCCAGTGTTAAACTGGCAGAATGCTGTTGGTAACATGATATTCATAATCGGCTTTTCTCAAGTGCTTTAATGAAGCCATACAGCTTGTGTGGAGTGGAGAGGACAGGGCTTTTGAGAGAGAGCGCTGTCATTATTCATATAAAAAGCCAGTAGAGCACTTAAAAGCCAAATCATTTATGCAAACATTTCTTAAAAGGATTTTCCCCCCTTTTTTTGTGATGAGGGAGGACTTTTTATGACGCTAAATGGATTAAGTGGAAAATACTTGATGCATTGTTGTTTGCTCTTTTATATTATTGCCTATTACTTGCTTCAGTGACAGCAGAGGCTGGTGATGCTGGTGGCCCTAATGGGGGAAACCAGAGGCTTTTCATTGGTGTAGGAGGGCAGGATTTGTATGTTGGGGGCTATTTAAGAGGAATGGCATAGGGTAGGGGTGGGCGGTATGACTCAAATCATACAATACAGCATGAGACTTTGTATTTAATGGTACAGCAATATATTATAGTATACTTTATGAAAATGAAAGGTACTTCATCTTCTTGATATTTTCTCTTTTTATATGGAACTTCATGTACGCAAACAAACAGATCAGGGGCTGGATTCACTAAATGTTATTAGGAATAACATTTGTCTAAAGAATAAAGATAAAAATATTTTGCATTTACATACATTAGAATTAATGAAAAGAAGGTTCTTAAAAAAAAAAACTATTCCTTAAAATAGTTCACCCCAAAAAAAAAATTACTGAATATTTACGCATCCTCAGGCTATCCAAGATGTAGACTTTGAAGAAGTTTGTTTCTGTATCAGAACAGATTTGGATAAATGTATCATTACGTTACTTGTTCACCAATGGATCCTCTGCAGTGAATGGGTGCCGTCAGAATAGGTTAGGGTTAGGGTCCAAACAGCTGATAAAAACATCACAATAATCCACACCACTCCAGTCCATCAGTTAACATCTTGTGAAGTGAAAAGCTGTGTGCTTTTGAGAAACAAATCCATCGTAAAAGCCTTTTATCATTAAATCTTCACTTCTGGCCAAAATACCAGTCCAATACCATAATATGGTTTCCTCCATTGAAAAATTCCCATCCCCTGTTGTCCTCTCAAATCAAAATGTGTCCTAAGATCCGTTTTGGACTGTTTTCACTTTTAAACGGTGCCTGATCTGTGCGTATTTCTCTTCTGATTCAGACATGATGACTTTTTCAGTGGAGAAAGCAATATTGTGGATAGAGGACTCAAATTTAACCGGAAGCAACAATTTGAAATGAAAAGCGTCTTAATAATAGATTTGTTTCATGCAGCTTTTCACTTCACAAGATATTAACTGATGGACTGGAGTGGTGTGGATCGATTGTGGATTATTGTGGTGTTTTTATCAGCTGTTTGGACTCTCATTCTGACGGCACCCATTCACTGCAGAGGATCCATTGGTGAGCAAGTGACGTAACGCTACATTTCTCCAAATCTGTTCTGAAGAAACAAACCCATCAACATCTTAGACGGGATAAGGGTGAGTACATTTTCAGCAAATTTTCATTTTTGGTGAACTACTCTTGTGGAATTTGAAACCCTCAAATGTAAAATATTTAATGAGAGTGCAGGAAAGATGGAGCGCAAATGAATGCAACTGACCATCTTGAGACAGGGTCTTTAGAAAACCAAGTGCTGAACGGCAGTCAAACCAGTTAAATAACAGCATGCATGCTTATTATGATTATGGTAGTCTGCAGGCAGTGCCAAAAGATGTCCTTTGAGGTGTTTTTCATTGAGTTGATTATTGAGTCTTCTGTATGAATCACCATACAATCAGATGACACCACAGCCTGTCTTCTCAGGATGTTCGGTCCCACTTTATATTAAGTGGCCTTAATTACTATATACTTAAATCAAAAAATAAGTACAATGTATTTATTCTTTTCATATAGCATTGCAAAACACGGTAACACTTTATTTAAGGTGTCCTTGTTACACGTTACATGTACTTACTATTACAATAAATTATTCATAATTACATGCAAGTAACCCTAAGCCAAACCCTAATCCTAACCCTAACCATATAGTAAGTACATGTAGGTAATTAATATTACTTAGTACTTAAATGTATAATTACACTGTAATAAGGACACATTAAAATGAAGTGTAAACCAAAACACTTTTGCTGCTATGAGGTGGGATACGGGTAAGGTTAGGGACAGGTTTGGTGGCATGGGTACATTTTTAGGGTGGGTTATGTTGTAAGGGATGGGTCAACAGTGTAATTATAAATGTTCAATATTCTTACAACCTTCTTAGAATTTATCTTAAGTAATTGTAACTTTTTTTAAAAGATTTTTGTGATTCCAGCCCCAGATTAATCATATATGAGCCTAGCACAAAACATTTTAAAATACACTGAAATTTTAAAAGCAATATTATAAAATGGATAGTACAGACCCCAGAGTCTGACCATGCATGAGTTTCACTAGGTTGAGATGTTGATCGGCATCCATCAACAATCAAACTTGCTTCAAATAGTGCAACTTCAGTTTTAGGTTTTGTATTTTTACCCCATATTTCTGTATAGCACATGTAAATAAGGTAAAACAGATACATTTACAAAATGTCACATGGCATGAATGGTCATACCTCCCAACCCTAGTGTACAGCCATGTAAGGCATGAGAGTCCACAGCCCATGCTGAAGGAGGTTCTGGGACCTGGGGGGGGTCTGTGTAGTGAGACAGGTGTAGCTATGCTTACCTAAAACCCCGCTGGAGTCGATAGGATACTCCAGAATGGAGGTGGCGGGGGCCAGTGTGTAGGGGTACTCATAGGGCGTCGCGTAAATCAAGCCCGACTCCGGACCAGGCTGCACTAGGGTAGCAGCTGCTGGGTGGGCCGAGCCGTTGGGCATGACGGTCTGGATCTGGCGGATGAGGGGCATGATGGTGTGCCCTGCGGGCGTAGGCGTGCGCAAGACTGTGGGCGGCAGGACAGGTGCTGGGCCGGTGATGATCCGTGGTGCCTGTGCGCTCGCTGCAAGAGAGAATGCAAGGGAAGCTGCGGTGAGCGGAAAAATGCGAGGGTAGGGGTGAATGAAGACGGGTGGGGTCGGGACAAAAAAACACAAAAACCATTAGTACCATGCAAAGGCAAACACTGGACACAGAGCATGACAGCGATGCTATTTAGTTATTCATTAGTAAACAAGGCAGGGGAGGAGCCAGTGCATTCAAACAACACACTCCTGCAGTTCCACAGCGCTTCAGTATTATTTACTGAAGCAGCAAAGCGAAGAGGAGGATGTCACAACATTCGGTCAATTAAGGAAGCATTGTTTTCACAGATAGCAGTGCATGTTCTCTATTCTTTCAGCTCATTAGCTGCTCTTTGGATGTATGTGCTAATTCTGGATCACAATACTGATACACTTGTCAGAGCATTCATCGGGGAATCAGGGTTACTTGAGAGAGGATTACTGAGAGCTGCGGCTACAAAGGCCTCCAACAATACTGGCTCTGTTTGCTTGAGAGGAGGTGGCGGCTTACGTGATTTGATATTGGCGTCTCTGTAGGTGCCGTTAAGAATGGCCAGTTCCATCAGTTGCATCTTCTTTAGACTGTCCTCGCCTTCAGCCTGTTGGTGTAAAGAAACACATAAAGATGTCAAAAACAGATGCGCACAAACACAACACGCTACTGCTACTATTCACACTGCAGTTAGTGTTTGTTTTTTCTCTCACACATAAGTTTGGCCGATGCATTACAAGCACAGTGTCTGTTGTATATACTTAATGTGTGTTCTTTCTCTAATGTGGCAGTAATAAACCTCAGTACTCAAGGGAGTGATACAGTTTCCTTCAAATGTTTGAGCCATTAAAGGTAGGTAGCTATAAACATGTTGACAGTTTTAATAACTTTAAGTATTCTGCTCTGCCATGAAAATAGACAAAGAGAAAACGAATCATAAAGACAGACATCGACCTGCAGTAACAAGCACTAAGAATGTGTGTACTGACACACTGTGGAACACAACAATGTGTGAAATCAAGCTTGCAGATAGCATAGATCCCACGTGAAAAAGTGTTTAATTGTACTGAATGTGCACTTGTAGTAGTGTACTTCAAATCTTAAAAGCGCATAAAAAATACTGAAATATTAACAAATCTTAGAGTACATTTTCGTGACTGTGCTTCTTGGATACACTTTTAAAAAGTGCCCTTAGCAATAATGCCTAATCTTTAAAGTTACTTTTAAATCATTATGTTTTAATAATCGTGTCATGCTTTAATAAGTACACTTTGATTTGTTGACTAACTTACTAAAGCACTTGATTTTAAATTTAACCGTAGTGTTATTCAATATTACATTTAGTTATCAATGTTAAATATTAAGTTTTATGTACTAAATTGCAACGTCATCATACAAATGTGCAATTGCAAATATATTTAAATACATGACTGACATGTTTCAATACAAATGAGGTTAAAGTATATTTTAGTTTATCATAAATGCTTGCCAGTATATTTCAGTAGTACACTTTAACCATATTTCAATGACAAGAAGTAATTATCAATTAACAATTAACCTCGCACACCTGAAAGTAATAGACAGGTGCGTAGGAAAACAGACCAAACCAAGGTCAAATACAAAACATACTCAAAAGTCCCGTACACTATCAATGCTTGCACATATATACAAGTCTTTATTAACAACGTTTTTGTCCTATGACCTTCATCAGGTATATCTATGAAATTAATTATGAAATGACATATAGAAGTTGTAGTTAAGTCCTATTTACGTGGGTCAAAAACACTCTAAATTTAATTGCATTAATATAAATGTTAACTATCACCCATTTTCATTTAATTGCAATTAATATGCAATTAAGTAATTACATTGTTCACAATTATATTCTTTTAAAGTATACTATTTCTGTAATATATATATATATATATATATATACATATATATATACATACATTTTCTAAGTATGCTAAAACACGCTAATTATATTATTCACACTGCAGCTTTTTTCCTGTTCGAATCTAACAAAATCTCTCATTTAAAGTCCCACAAAAGTTTATCTCATTTTCGGCACTGGGGACTAAGACCAGAAATATACTCTACACAAGTATAGCAAGATAAATGGTCTGTTGTACTTGTACATACTTAATGTGTGTTCTTGCTCTACTGTGGCGGTAATAAACCTCAGTACTCAAGGGAGTGATAGAGTTTCCTTCAAATGTCTGTGCCATTAAAACAGAAGTGTTATTAGCTAGCTAGCTACGGACATGTTGATCATTTAAATAACAGTGCTCAGCAAGATTTTCTCCAAACTACTGATCTGCCCATGGCAAAAGACAACCGAAAGAGAAAACTAATCGCAGAAGACTACTTACATTAATGCTTGATATAAGCACTAAGAATGCATACTTGTGCTGCATTATGAATTGCATTCAGACACTTTTTGAAGCGTAAATGCGTGAAATCGAGCTTGCATAACTAGCATTTGAATTTAGAAACAATGCACAGTTTAATGTTTCAGACAACTAATTACAAGTAGTGAAGATGAACTACTGTGCATTGCCTAGAAGCGTGACAGTAGCTCCAATGTTTTCAAAATAATGTCGCTTTCCCAGCTATTTCCACTCATCACTCCATAGCATTTCCAGAATTCCCTGCATAGTATTTCATGTCATCTGTTTAGCTAAATGATTTTTCAAAAAGCTAACTTGACTACAGTTAACCAACTTCACCTTTTAAAGCTGGAATGAAACAAAAATTGCAGTTGTGTTTTTGTCCTTTTGTGATGTATATCTTTGTGGAACGGCTTCTCGAATGAAAAAAATGACTTGATTTAGTCCATTATGAATTGCACGGATTAATAATTTTTAATAATAACTGCAACATTCCATTAAAAAATAAGAACTAGTCAATTCTCAAGATATTTTGCCTAAACTCACTATTGCTCTGAATAGTAACAAAAATTCTGCCAAAACAATTGTTACACTTAATTTAATTTAAATATGACTGCAGTAAATATATATATATATATATATATATATATATAAAAAAAAGAATTAAAAAAAAAAGTAATTTGCAACATTCTGCTTTAGAAGAATAACAGATTATTGGGCTACGTCCACACGAAGCCAGCACTTTCCCTATCCGCCGGTTTCAAAAAATATCGGTTTCACTCTCCCAAAACGCCGGATCCGTCTGGACGAAACACCTATACGATTCAAAATTTATGCGTATACAGCTAAACGCGTCTCCGTGTGGACGGGGCCTTATATAATTTCACTCTTTGTTGTATTGCACTATCCAAATGTAACATGTTTTTCTGTATGGTCAGGAAAAAAGTACAAATACAATACATAAAATAAAATAAACAAATTGTAGCATGCTCATTTCTACTATGAAACAACACTAGAAGAAAGGGACAATGCATGCCATGTCCCTCACATCATGTCTGAACTCGGAGAGATCAGAGCTGCCCAGCATTCACTCCCTCAGTCTCAGTCTCTGTCCCGTGTGGAGATGAGTTACAGTAAGAGAGATGTATTTACTGCCCTGCAGCACTGCTCCTCTAAGGGGCCGGTCCCCTGCGCCCTCCCGTCACCACTGAAATGCTGCCCGCTCCCTGTGTATGTAAATATCAATACTTTATTAAGTCAAGAGCCCGCTGATGAATAGAGCGGGACGGAGCTGTTATAAATCACTCTCTGTCTTTATTTAATCAGCCTAATGTGCTCTGTCCTTGAGAAGCAGGCCTCTGAGAGAGCCGCGCTACACATTCACTTATCAGAACCTGAGAACGAGGTGAGAAAGTTTGGGGAAGTGGCCTACATAGAAGAACTTATGAAAGTTATGTTATGAAGTTATGAAATATATATGTTATTTCTTACTGTGTTGTTGTTTTGATCTACAGTACTTCGTCCTGGTGAGCAGACATGCTTTATTAGCGATGACAGATGATGGGACCGCAGGAGACTATATCTCTTGTTTTGAAAGCTCCAGGAGGGTGAAGCGAGCTTGGTCTCATGGATAAAAGAGAGTATTTAATGGCTAGGTATAGCTTCGGATAAGAGCGTTTGATTCTGCAGGACAGCTGAATAATTTAATAAGGTTTTTATCAATTTTGTGTTAAAGCTAGTGGTTCTAACTATTGTAAGACTGATCAAATAATGTGAGCAGATATTGTTAAAGGGATAGTTCAAACTAAATACAAATTTAATGAGTTTCTTTCCTCTGTTGAAGAAAATGGTATAACTGAAGAGTTGCTGGTCCCCATTGACTTTCATAGTTTGAAAAAAATACTATTGAAATCAACGGGGACCAGAAACTGTGAACACATTTTTCATAATATCTTCTTTGGTGTTCAGCAGAAGACTGAAATGCAGGTTTAGGTCAACTTGAGGGTAAGCAAATGATGCCCGAATTGTCATTTTTGGGTGAACTATCGTGCTTTCATCACATTGGAAATGGAAGGTTGAGTCAACCGAATTGCATTGTGGGATTCGGTATTTCATCAAGTGTGCTGTACACCACACATTTGACAAATACAGTACTGCAATAGGTCATGCATACAGTAAATCTGTGTACTGCACATGGTATACATACTGCATTCTGCAGAAATAGTGGGAGTAGTATGATAGGCCTGCTTTTTTGAACAAATTTGGATTAGCATACTACTATACCATGTGTACTATTTCATCAGTGTGCAGTATGTATATTGTGCACAGTATGGGAATTTTGCCTATCCACTATCATTCAAAATTTTGGGGTTGGTAAGATTTTTTTCACGTTTCTAGAAGAAGTCTCTTATGTTCACCAAGGCTGCATTTATTTAAAGGGGTCATATGATGCGATTCGTTTGAGAGAGGCGGGGCATAGAGGACCTACAATAATGTACAGTATTTGAAAAATAATGTGTTTTTTGAACATTAAAGCATGTCAACATATTCTGTTACACCAAATACACAAAATAATGATCTTTAAAAAAGCATCATATGACCCCTTTAAACAAAAACAGAAATATTATTCAAATTTAAAAGAACTGTTTTCTAATTGTATATATCTTAAAATGTAATTTATTCCTGTGATGGGGCAAGCTGGATTACTGCAATCTTCAGTGTCACATGATGCTTCAGAAATCATTCTGATATGATGATTTACTGCACAAGAAACATTTCTTACTATTATCAATGTTGAAAACAGTTGTGCTGCTTAATATTTTCAGTACATCATTTATTTGAAATAGAAATCTTTTGCAACATTATAAATGTCTCTACTGTCAATATTGATCAGTTTAATGCATCCTTGCTGAATATAAGTATTACAAAATTAATACTTTTGAATGGTAGTGGCCAAAAATGCAGCAGTAAAACAAGAGCACACTGCAAGGAATACTGTATCCCACAATGCAATACACTCAACTTACAGAACGTCTGTTTCATTTGATTGGCATGACAAAAATATGACAAAATGAGACATTTTTACACATTATTACAGTTAAGACATATTTGTCATTGATATTTTATCTTGTTTCGAATAAGACTTCTAAATAAACAACAGTAGGCAGTACACAGTGTATTATACTGTAAAGTATGCAGTAGGCAACACTAGA